CAGCACCAGAACCACCGAGACCTATCCCGAAACCAAGAATATCAAAGAGACTTGCTATTCCAGTCAAGGAACCAGAGGATGACGAGTCAGACATATATTTCCCTTCGTCTGAGCCGTCAGTGTCAGCTGCGGATACAGCTGATAGGCCAACTGAGGCTAGAGCAGAAGTTGAAGATTCTGCATTGGACGAAGATGATTTAGTTGGAGATGCAGTTGGGAGCCAGCCAGATCAGCCTGAAGATATTTCAGCTGAGGTTGATCCTGCTGCAGAGGAGACATCAGATGTGGAGACCACTGACGCAGATCCTGGTGCAGCCCCAGAAGAACCTGCCAATGTGGAAGATGATCCTGAGTTAGCTGAAGATGTGCCGGCACAGCAACCCAGAAGATCAGGGAGGACTCGGACACAGCCACGGTGGATGTCTAGCGGTGAGTATGTCATGTCTGCAGTTCCGCATCCCGACTGGAGGAACAGAGCTGAGTATCTCAGTTCTCTTATCAACGCTGGAGTGCTCGCCAACGACAGTACTGATGTACAGAATGCATTTCTCTCCCTTGTTTTAGGCAAATGATGAGGACATCATTTTCATGCCGGGGGGGAAGTATGTAGCAGGTGTATATATTTGTATTTTAGTCTTTTTTGTAAATAAATCTATTTCAACTTTATTCAACAGAGGTGTGTGTTTGTTTTTATCCCATCATTCTAAGTCCAGGCCTCAGTGATCAATCACAACCCAAGCTCAACTACATTCTTTGTCCAGCCCTCTGCTGATCAATCACACCCCAAGCGATCCTGTGATTGGCCACATTCAAACTTTACCTTCTTGCTCTGACTAACTCCATATTGCCACCTTCACTATGCACTGCACTGGGAGTATTCATAGATCACCACAAAAGGTTAGTTTATAATTTATCTTTATTTCTAAATAGTATTAAATAGTAATCAAAGATTAGGCATTATAAATAAGCATCTCAGAAGTAATTATATTTACATTGAATCACATATTTCTATTAATGTTGATGTTTTGAATGAATGTGGTTTAGAGGCTGAACTTTAAACCTAAGCTTTAGTGTATTTTAATATTATCTTGTATACATGCCAAGTTATATCTACATTAATGGAATTGCACCAACTATGCATTTTGTTATTCATTTCAATGTATTTAGTCACTCTAAGTATTTATTCCTGCTCTTTCTTCTGCAGGACATATCATGAATGGTGACATTTCAAGGGTAACACGTTTTACACCCTTGTGCCACACATAGGGTATGTGTAACCATTTTACTTAATATGTACTGTAAGCCATTTCTATCATATCATAATAATTAGTTGTAAGTAATGTAACAGAAATGATTGTATTGCTTTGATGATGATATGATATATATTATGTTTTAATATGCATATACTATATTATCTGTTTCTTATTACAGGGTGACTATCGTGATTATAATAAACATAATCCTCACACCCCGTAGCCGTCTTGGTGTCATCTATATAAAATCATGGATAAAGCCAAGAAAACCCGGTTACATTCATATCATCCACTGATTCTTGATATTTTAGAATTGCATAATGTTCTCGCCACTGCCCAATACGACATCGTCTTTTGGTGGTTGCCCAGCCATGTTGGAATTGTTGGTAATACAATGGCTGATGCTGCTGCAAAAGCAGCACTCAACAAATCTGTGACACCACTTCTTCTACCATACAGTGATTATAAACCTGTTATTAGATGTTACATAAGAGATCTAATGCAGAAGAAGTGGGACACCCAAGTAGGTATAAATAAATTACATGCAATAAAAGCAAATATCGGTTATACCTACTTGGGTTGTCAGTCCAGATTTGAAGAGGTCATTTTAAGACGATGTCGTATTGGCCATTCACGTTACACTCAGGAATATATTTTAAAAGGTGAAGATCCTCCATTCTGCGTCCCTTGTGATGAAAGAATCACAGTCAAGCATGTCCTGCTTGACTGTATTGATTTTTCCATCACAAGGGATAACTATTTCAAAGTTTCATCACTCAAGGATCTTTTTAACATAAACTCTCATTTAATTATTGATTTTTTAAAAGAAATTGAATTGATTAATAAATTTTGATGTAGAAAGTTATATATTTTATAAATTGGTAATATATACTTCTGAACTGATATTGTTAGTGGTTGTACCCTTGATTGGGGTTGAAGTAGCGTAAAATTATTGTCCCCCAGAGAGGGTGCGTAAGCCATCTTCATTCAAAGTAATTAATATATACCAGGTTTTTAATCGTAGAATGATTGTTTGTTTTAATCTTGGCTAAATTTCTCCATACTCACCAATAACTGAAGGGTTGGTGTAAATCCTGCCAGGGTCCATGCAAGTAGCAAAGGTACTGTAAGCCCCCATGGTCCCTGGTATGGTGGCCTAACTTTAGTTTTGGTGATCAATAGTCTGTTTTTATGATGTGTCGTCTGTCATAATCCAATCATTTCATTGTTCTAAAACTAGTTTTAAAGTTATAATCTGTGATATCTTGTTAGTTATTGTACTGTCCTTTGACGGCAGTTTTTTTTGTATAAGCTATAACTTGTTCAAGTCACGATATGGCTGAAATATTGCCGCTGTGATTTTAAATAATAACTCACTCACTCACTCACTCACTCATGCATGTATGTTTTGTTGTTTTTGAGCAAGAGTGATTTCAAACTCTGGTAAAGCTTCTTTTGGACGTCAGTTTATGTCATCAGTGATATTCTCAAAGTTGTTTCAGATACCAAATACATTCTAATGGACATCGCGCATGTTTTGTACATAAACATAAAAGTTTTGATAGTGTGTATACCAGATAGCTTAGACTACCTTACATGTTACATTCTCATGGGATGTGTGATCAGCACTGGTAAAAAACACTACTTTGTCCACAAAAAAGGCGACACAAATGTAAGAAAAACACAGTTACTACTGACATGAAATAGATAAGATCTAGTGTTAACCGTTGGAAACTGATGTACATGGCTTTTATGTTCGAATCGCCATACATCATATCCAAATCTCTCTATAGATCACAATCTCTACAATCACAAAACCTGCTGAGACAGTAGTCCATCTAGGGGTCACTGGGATTCAAGCCGTTTGACTTGTGGTGTTTTGTTTGTTTGTTGTTTAACGCCGCACTAAGCAATATTCCAGCTATATGACGGCGGTCTATAAAATAATCAATCTTGACCAGATAATCCAGTGATTGACACCATGAGCATTGATCCACGCAATTGAGATCGATGACATCCATCAACCAAGTCAGTGAGCCTGACCACCCGACTCCGTTAGTCACCTCTTACGACAAGCATAATCGCCTTTTACATTTTTGACTTGTGAATAAGGCAATCAACTCATTATCAATTACGATAAAAATCTGGAACTACTTCATTATGACGATTGGATTAACGTCTGCAAAATTGCATTTGGTTTTAAAATGGATGGAACGCGGTTAAAAAAGGGCCGCATGTGTAGAAGTCACACAAATATTAATAGATTGTGTACTGAGACAGCATAGTCATATCACACAGAGTGGTCCTTTAATTATGACATATCTTACAGGATGAAATTATAATCGTACGTAAGAGTGGATTGATTATCAGTCGGAGACCCATCTAAGTTTAAAACCATAGACTTTTCCTCATCAGCATGTTGCCTTCTATTTGATGGTTTTTATCCGTTTTTACAGTCTCACTAGAACAACGACAAGAGAATTACAAGTCTCAACGAAACAATTTACTTTACTGTTATCGCTCGCCAACAAGCCTAACCACTGCATTCTTACAACATAGATTAGAAAAGTCACCAGCTATGATGAATGCAGCCTATGGTCGGTGAAGGAAATAGAGTATAAACACTGATGAATGTCCAGTGTGTTTCTGTATGTGAATCCATGTCACACACACTAAGAACATATACACTTACTGGAATATCAGCACTTTGACATGGTAGTGAGCGGTTATAATTAGTGGAAATTTTATGCTTTTGGCCCAATCAGTAATTTGAAGCTATTCACGTGTATTCAATGTTGGTGAATAAAATAGATAACCTTTCTTTCTAGGTATAGATATTCTTTTTAGATAAAGTATTATTCTGAGTGGGACCAAGTTGTAAAACACATGCACAAGCCTACTTCAATCTATGTATTTTTATCTCAAATTCTGGGTTTAACCTTATCCAGGCCTTATTATTGTAGTTGTCTGTCACGCGCCACAAATACGAATATTAATACGACTAAGATTTGGACGTTTTTGAAATAAAATTTCACAGAAATGGATAGAAAATGTTTCCAAACGAACGTCTGTGTGCGAGTCTCATTTGGTCTGCAGAGCTGCGTGCCTTAGGCGTGCCAGATTTCTGTAATCAAGGGTCGAAACTTTAAGCTCGAAAGGGAAGAAATGTGTTAAACGCACACGGATGTGTAAATCACAAGAGGTGCCACAGAAGAAGGAATTTTCACAGTTCTGGTATTGCACATACTAATTAAATAACCTATTATGTGTACATCATACATACTATCTGTATCATTGACTGACATTTGTTCAAACACTCTGTTCTAATCATTTTTCTTTCAATAAACATACTGCAGTTAAAAACTAAACACACTGGGCATACAGGATATTTACAATCCCAAAACACACCAACAGACAAAGTGGTATTTGTGGGACTTGAAAAATATTTGCTGGGACAACCAATTTTTTGCCGAGTCTGGCCTCCCTTAAATCTCTTAACCTCACGCAGATAACACATATCAAACTAGTTCCCTCGTCGTCTAATGCGCTTCAGTTGAGGGGAACTCTCCCTATCCTTGTCAGAACCCACTGATCTGTGGTTTGAATCCCAGATAATGAGTCTTGCTTTCTCAGCATGCACCCTGCCCTGTAAGTTGGTTTCATCAAAGATTGAGGCCTGCATCACGTAGGGTTTTCCACCACCATTAAGCTGACACGCTCACTGTTGAGTAAATACAAGCAAAAGTGTTGTGTTTAGGTCTTTATTTAACCAACAGGCTGTCCAGGTCCACACAGGTTACAGTACTTCCTGCAGTAGTGCACACCCTGCTCCTTGTCCAGACAAATTGGGTTCTGAGTCTCGTTCATCAGGGCACAGTCACGGCCAATCAGCATGTCGCGACACTGGTTTGGAGCAATGGTTCCTGTAACAACAAGACAGAAAGTGCTCACAAGGGCTCACTAATATCCCCGACTTCGACTCCAAAATATTTCTAACTTCAAAACATGACAAAGGCAATATGTTCTCAGAAAAATCTTTTATCGAAATCAAACTTTGCACTGTACCTCTTCTTTTAGTATGGAAACTGTTCCCTAAATTTGGAAGAATCCATACTGTAGTTTTCTTGTTAAAGGTCTCGTAAATGTTATTTTAAAAACCATTTTAAGTAAATGTGTTAATTCATAAAACTGAGAGGCCATAGGCCTATAGTTCATGTTATATAGTAATGGGTGTATATACATTTATAAGGTAACATATTTGCATCTTCTTAGGTTCATAGAATGTAATATGAACAGTGTTATCATTACTACATTGTTACTTATAATGTTATATAATATTTATGAAAGAACTGTGTTCTGAATTCAGCATACAACGGACATATTTGTAAGAAGTGGTATTAGTTTTCTACCGCGTTTAAATCATTGACAACTTCTGTGTTCTCTTCCCGTCTCGATAAAGACTTCGTTTGAGCTACATCTAAATCTTGCAAGTGCAAATGGAAATGTTATTGTGTTAGATTAAATACGTTTTGCTCTCTACAAAAACTGATTTTAAAGAGGGAATAAGTTGATGATGATTTATTTGATAATGATAGGGAACGATGCCAATATTGAATGTACATATCTTTCATGGTCCGAGTAAAAGCATCTATGAATGATCTGGTATATAGGTGTCCTGTTTTGTCCATATACTAGTATTACCATAACCACATGAATAAAGCTGTGGCTTAACAGAAGATGCCCAGTTATTCTGTCCCTGTTGGTCATAGAGTAATAGCATGTAATAACATTTCTTTACACTGAACATGCCCAGTAAGTCTGTCCCTGTTGGTCATAGAGAAATAGCATGTTATAACAAGTCTTTACACTGAAGATGCCCAGTTAGTCTGTCCCTATTGGTCATAGAGTAATAGCATGTAATAACATTTCTTTACACTGAACATGCCCAGTAAGTCTGTCCCTGTTGGTCATAGAGAAATAGCATGTTATAACAAGTCTTTACACTGAAGATGCACAGTTAGTCTGTTCCTGTTGGTCATAGAGCATTATCCTGTTAAAACATTTCTTTACACTGAAGATGCCCAGTTAGTTTGTCCCTGTTGGTCATAGAGTAATAGCATGTTATAACAAGTCTTTACACTGAAGATGCCCAGTAAGTCTGTCCCTGTTGGTCATAGAGAAATAGCATGTAATAACATTTCTTTACACTGAAGATCCCCAGTAAGTCTGTCCTTGTTGATCATTGAGTAATAGCATGTTAAAACATTTCTTTACACTGAAGATGCCCAGCTAGTCTGTCCCTTTTGGTTATACAGCAATAGCCTGTTATAACATTTCTTTACACTGAAGATGCCCAGTTAGTCTGTCCCTGGTGGTCATAGAGAAATAGCATGCAGTGACATTTCTTTACAATGAAGATGCTCAGTTAGTCTGTCCCTGTTGGTCATAGAGTAATAGCATGTTATAACAAGTCTTTACAATGAAGATGCCCAGTATGTCTGTCCCTGTTGGTCATAGAGACATAGCATGTAATAACATTTCTTTACAATGCAGATGCCCAGTTAGTCTGTCCCTGTTGGTCATAGAGTAATAGCATGTTATAACAAGTCTTTATACTGAAGATGCCCAGTAAGTCTGTCCCTGTTGGTCATAGAGAAATAGCATGTAATAACATTTCTTTACACTGAAGATCCCCAGTAAGTCTGTCCTTGTTGATCATTGAGTAATAGCATGTTAAAACATTTCTTTACACTGAAGATGCCCAGCTAGTCTGTCCCTTTTGGTTATACAGCAATAGCCTGTTATAACATTTCTTTACACTGAAGATGCCCAGTTAGTCTGTCCCTGTTGGTTATAGAGCAATAGCATGTAATAACACTTCCTTGGGTGTCTCGTAACAACATTTTAACTAATTTAATGCAGTACTTTACCATTGTAAATACAGACAGACAGACAGACTCACTTTTATTTTGACTTAGGCCATATGTGGCCTCTGGTCATGTACACAAGATTTATTGAATGTTTGGCGTAGTGGATATAATTATATTACAATACATTTTTGTTTGTTCAGAATAAAGTTCAGAACTTTAGGATAGGCAATAAAACTTACTTCTTTCTTTCTTTCTTTTCTTTGTCAAAAAAATATGTAAATCTCAGCAAAAATACTCTCTTTCTAGAGTCCAAACCTTGAGTGTCTCTTTTCAGGAAAAAATCCGAATGTAGTCCCAATAATCGAATTAATTTGGAGACACAATCCAAAAACATTTGGACATATCTAAACTTCCCAAAAATGTGACATCTTTTCAGCCAAACGGACAGCTACGTGATCACACGATCATAAGAACACTGGTCGGACACCGACTGAGCTCAAACTGCACATGTTTCTATTGTTCATAAAACGAAAATCCGATTTAAAAACGAAATGTTTCAGTTTGAATAGTTTGACCATCACCAAAAACGTAAAACCACGGATATACACTTACCACAACTGCCCTTCTCGTCGGAGAAGTCGTCACAGTCATTGTCGCCGTCACACACCCAGCTCTTCTGAATGCACCTGCCGTTGGCGCACGTGAATTGGGTGGCTGTGCAGTTTCCTGGAACAAATTTAAGACGTTCAACGTCAGCAGCCGTACAACTCGGTTAGGTTGACGCAATCTGGTGTTTACACATCTATATTTATATATGGCCAGTGCAGTAAAAACAAATCACTTGAATCAAACTTGCTAAGACTGACACTTCTCCCGAACAAAGGTCACGTGTAAAACAGAGAAGGACATACCACAGTTGTGTTCATCTGAACCGTCGCTGCAGTCATTGTCGCCGTCACACTTCCATTGCAAGTCGATACACAAACCGGAAGTACACCGGAATTGGTCGTCAAGGCACGAGGCTGCAAATCAAGAGATGCTGTGTATATAGAAAGCGGGAGAGGTGGGGAGTCGATGTCGGGTCGGGGTGGGGGTTGGGGAAGGAGGGGTTTGGGTGCGGTTTCCATCTCTGCAATAGTTCATATGTTGTATCAGTTTTATATGTTACTACGTCTCAAACGTCTGTGAATGTGCACTATAGGTTTAACAGGGCCAACCACCATCTTCATTTAGCTGCAAGTGATGAATATACATATTGTTTAAAGTTTATACCTTCCTTACAGAATACATATTCTTAGATTAATCAAAAGTTAACCATTAATCAAGAGGCACATGGTAGAGGTTTTGAAAGGTATGGTAAATAGCGGCCCCCTGTTTTCATTTTCAATTTCTGCCAGTTTTCATTTTCGAACAGCAATATTATTATTTTTTAGAAACATATTTATAATTATATTAGAATATTTATGCAGTTTAAAGATAACTATTATGTTCTACTTCTTCTCTTTCAAATACTCCAAGCCCTGGTTTTTGTGTTATATATTTAAGAAATAAGCGACACTGCAGGCAGAATAAACAACTCGGGATGTGCCCCTTCTGGCAGTGTGCATTATGTCGGCCTCTTTGGGGATGTTGAAGGTTTAAAAATATTTACCCAAATTTTAGTAATGATGACTCCCTGAATAAAATCCGACCACAGAAATGTAGGACAAGTCCATTTTACGAACAGGTGGGTTAAGTTTGTTATTTCCCGCATTTCCTAACAATCCTTACGTCGATTACCTGTACCTTTTACCTCAATACCGATTGTCATATCTCTCCCGCTTTTGGATGCGATCAGCCATTGCGTTTAACTGCGTAGGCTACCTACATCTATGGGGAACAACTTACTAGACACTTCCCTCTCAAAAATAAATCATCCAAGACATGACGTCATCAAGTTGCAAGCGCATATTCGAATCTTCAGAAATGACGACACGAAAGAACAATGCTTTATCGTGAAGTAAATAACGCTTCGTTTTTCGTTATTTTTATATATAGTATACTTACTGCAGTTGGCCTCGTCTGAGCCGTCGGTGCAGTCCTTGTCTCCATCGCAGTACCACACATCCTCGATGCAAATGCCGTCAGCCACACAGTGGAACTCATACTGGTCGCACCTCATTTTACCTGTCACATCATGCAAATATATATATATTTGTATGCTTTTATGCCAAACTTTATATCAGAAGAACAACTACGCAGCGCTTAGGCATTTCGTTCTCACATGTTCACCATTCCACAATGGGAAGTTATCAAAAAAAAAGAATTTTGTCCTAGAAAATTCTTGAAAAAATAATTATGCTGCAGACTGTGGGGAGAAAAACTGTCTGCCACAAAAATTACATTGTTGCAGGGTGTTTTTACTTTTAAAAACTATTCAGCTCAGTTTCATTTTTTTTTTAAATCTGGTTTTGCAACTGTAGATGAAAAATATCTAATCTCCAGACAATATTCCAGCAGACACAGAATTGCTATTTATACCATACTGGATTCCAGAGCAAATATATCTGTGAATAAAGTCTTTGAAAGGCATTTAGAGGGAGAGAATTTATGGATGTCAACTTCTTTATTATGAGGAGCACAATGTTTTGGAGTATATACTAACAGCTTCATCAGGTTATTATTATCAGGTTTTTCACAATAAAGAAGCTGACATACATAAATAATCTTCCTTATATCTGTGAATGTTGAATGCAAGGACGCTCCCTCTTCCTAAAGCCTAAACCCAATATATTGTGTAATTGGGAGCTCCCACAGCTGGCATTCTTGAAGTTTAGACAGGGAAGTTTAGACAAGATCAACTGAGTAAAACAAGCCCGAATCTCGCTTTTGAGACATGCAGATTTTGACAGTCCCAAGATCTGAGGCCATCTGGTCTTGCCAAATCATTCTGAATTTAGTTGGACTCCTGTTTGAATTTTACTCTAGGGTCAGAGAGAGAGAGAGAGAACACGACCCATCTTGCTGATTTGTCTCTGTCTGCATATGAATCGGAATTTCATCTCGGGAGACAAAATAAGTGAATTTGTCTTACATGTAGATGTTAAACTTAAGCTTCAAGTATACTGAGTCAAATTAAAAACTTCACATTTTTAAAAGTAATCCCATATATGATATACAACGGACAAATGTATCAGAAAAGGTAATTTTTAATCATTAATGTCCAAAGAAGGATTTTAATTAACGGTGGTAACCATAATTTGTTCCAAGCACCTACGGTATTCGGTAATGACATCAACAGTTTAAATCATAAGTCCCAAGCACGAGAATCTGATGGCACACAAGTTCAGTAGCGTGTATGGCCACCATGTGCGTTGACAACTGCCATACAACGCCTCCGCATGGACCTTGTGATGCTTGTGAACACATGATTGGGAAGACGACGCCATTGTTGCTGCAAAATGTTGCCAAGATCCTGCAAATTCTGTGGTTGGTTCTGGAGAGTGCGCAGACTTCTGCCAAGAGCATCCCAGACGTGTTCGATGGGATTGAGGTCGGGAGACCTTGACGGCCAGTCCATGACGTTGACTTCCGCATTCTGAAGGAAATTCCTTGTCAAAATTGCTGTGTGGGGTCTGGCATTGTCGTGTTGGAAGATCAAACCGGGTCTATGTGCTGCCATAAAAGGCAGAAGTTCTGGTGCCAGTACCTGGTCGCGGTAAGCAGCAGCGTTGAGGTTGCCACGGATGACAAGAAGCCTGGTACGTGCATTGCCACAGAAAGCACCCCACACCATGACACTTCCGCCTCGAAATCTGTCAATTTCCTGTACACAACACTGGGCGTAACGTTCATGACGGCGCCTCCACTCCCTCGACCTACCTTCAGCAAATCGAAGAGTAAATCGGGATTCATCACTGAAGACGACTTGATTCCAATTCCTCTGAGTCCATCGTAAGTGTCACTGTGCCTACAATTGACGTTGACGTCTGTGTAATTGAGTCAGAATCGACCCGCAGTATGGCCGTCGTGCTTGAGTGAGTGAGTGAGTATGGTTTTACGCCGCTTTTAGCAATATTCCAGCAATATCACGGCGGATTCGAACCCGGGTCTTTGGTGTGACGAGCGAACGCTTTAACCACTAGGCTACCCGACCGCCCGTCGTGCTTGAAGATTAGCAGTTCTCAGACGGTTTCGAACCGTTTGCGCACTTAGTCTACCCCTAAACACTTCATTTCTGGTTGATGTAGCCGTCAAAAATCGGTTACGGAGGTGACGTAAGACAGTCGCCCTGGCCGAGGGCGATCAGCGGTGGTACCCGTTTGCTGTAGACGCGTCTGTAAATCATAAACAGTCCATCGACTACAACCCATCGTCCTTGCGACTTCAGCTACGGACGTTCCCGTCTGCAAAATGCCGATGGCACGTTCACGTTGCACATTTGAAAGGGGTGGCATGACGAATGGCCTTAAAGACTTTTGTTTTCTTGTGTTTTTCTTTTTTGTTAATGACTGCTAACAAGTATGGCTGAAAACACGTGCGGTATTATGGCCACGTGACCAGATGCACATGAAAAACCCCTTTTGCCACTATAATGCTGTGCACATGATTTTGATGGATTCACCTGCACAAAAACGGGTGTTATCTGAAGACAATACGTGGCCATTACTGTTTAAATACACAATAAGGGCCCACAATGATAACTGGTCAAAATGTTAAAATTTTAGGATTGTGAAATTTTTAATTTGGTTCAGTATATATCAATGATCTAATATCGTTCAATAATGTCAAGTAGCCAATTCCATTCCTCTTATTTATGTGTATATCTCCTAATCTGTTTCACATTTAGATCTCTGCATAAAGCTTCACAGAGTGACAAAAACCATCTGTAAGAAGGAGAATGACTTCAACTTTCCAATAGTCCATTGTCCCGTTATTTCGTGCGTGTTTCAGCAACTCTAGTTATTTATGTCCAAATTTCACATTAATGGGGTACAATCGAGCATGCTCTTTCCACGAAGTTTTCAATGATCGTCATACGACTCTTGCACAGAAGTGGTGTTTCATCGGGGAAACAACTTTCTTAACCAGTAAATGTTCATGCTTGTTGGTGTTTTACGCCGCACTCAGCAATATTCCAGCTATACAGAACAATAACTTCCCTTGTTTTCTCAGGTAAAGACGTGACTTGACTTTTGCATCTGTTTGTTACTGGTGAGACCATTCCTCAAAAACAACACTGGTATCGTCACTATTTGATAGTGGTTCACAAGCAATTGCTTGTGATATAGTCGGAATCTGGGCTTTCATGACATCATTGGTAATTCTGATGTCATAAGACGTATTCTGCCCCGGAATCCCTACGGACTTCCGGTACGACATAGGAGAATCCTTAACACGTCTAACCCTAGAATCTTTAATATAGACACGTCAAGTCTCTCCCAAATTGTGAACGGATAATAAACTTAATGATCTATGGTCTTACATATGAAGCAGCATCATTCTTTTGTTTCGATTGCAAATGTTCATGTCATTTGTTCTTACCGCAGTCTTTCTCGTCGGAGCGGTCGCCACAGTCGTCATCGCCGTCGCAGAAATACTCATGTGTGATACACTTCCCCGACTTGCACTTGAACTGATGATCGCCGGAACAGTCGGTGGCTACAAAACGATGACGATGACATACATTTATTGTGAGCTATTTTTCAACATGTCGTCGAGCGATGTTTGTTTGTTTGTTGTTTAACGCCAATATTCCAGCTATATGACAGCCGTCTGTAAAAAATCGAGTCTGTAAATAATCGAGTCTGGACCAGTCAATCCAGTGATTAATATCATGAGCATCGATCCATGTAATTGGGATACTAGGACATGCATCAACCAAGTCAGAGAGCCTGACCACCCGATCCCGTTAGTCGCCTTTTACAACAAGCATAATCGCCTTTTACGGCAAGCATGGGTTGCTACCCCGGATCTTCCCGGGTACCTCGAGCGATGACTATGTAGAGGTGCATAGATGTCTAACTCATCAGCAGACACCGACAGGTGAGAAAGTTTGACTTTAAAGATGTGAAACATTGTTGGGACATTGTCAGAAGTTCCAGGCCCAGTCATTCGTGTCTGCTGTAAATACTGGCAACATATTCCCTTATGCGAATATGGTGTCAAGGCACTGTTGCTCATCCCAAACAATGAAAGTGTTCTTCAGACATAAAGTAAGGAGAGTTTTACGTTAATCCCCAGATAGGAACAAATCCAAGTCACATTATAGTCCTACACTGGTGCATTTTTGTGTCTGTAAAGACGACCCTTAAAGGCTGTCAAATTTTCAATACCTGATGCATTTCTTTTCATTAATTCAACTTAATTTCACATTTTTCTGTAACAAATCCTATAAATGTTTTAGATTCCTAGATTTTTTTTTCCAATTTAATATTTCGATTTTAAAATCAAAATGGAAGAAGAAGAAATCCACGTCCTGTTAAGGAGCTAGATCATCATCCCATGTTTCGGGCACAATCTCCCCAGCTGTCTCAGGGTGGAAGTCGGATGTGAACTGACTTGGTCTTTCTGTTCTTGACATGAACTCATTATAATTTCACTTTTTCTCTTACAAATCCTATCAATGGTTGAGATTCCTAGATACCTTTTACAATGTAATATTTCCAGGAAACGCTGTGTCCTGTTGAGCAACTGGATATCATCCCATGTTTTAGCCATATACTCTCAGCTACTGTCTATGTTCTTGACATGAACAAATCTCAATTTCATTGTGTTGTGCTTTATTCCTAAGAAGAAGTCGTATGATAACGGACGCAGGACCAGCATACATCACTCTATGTCATTACCCAACGCTGATCCGTTGGGAGCACAGATACTCATACATACCACAGTTTATCTCATCGGAGCCGTCACTGCAGTCGTGTTCGGTGTCGCATAAGTAGTCTTTGGGCACGCATTCGCCAACAAGGCACCTGAACTCGCGGTCAGAACAGTAAGTATCTGGAACAAGCAGGTGAATAGGTTGGTTGGTGGAATTTTGTTCTTCTGCATTAGTTCTACAGCCTTACCACACCAATTGAACCACATCTCATAGAAATTGTAGCACAGATAACTTTCTCGTATTTTTGTGAAGTGAACAAAAGAACATTGTGGAGTGGAATGACACCCAAATCCACACACAAAACTGATATCACACACACACACACACACACACACACACACACACACACACACACACAGAGATTATGGCAGTACATCCCACGGGCTACGCAAAGTCGCTTTTCTTCAAATGTATACCCTTTGAAGCCAGGGCCAGACGATGTCGTGACCCATAATGGGGTGTCCTCCTCAGATCTTTATTTACGATTGAAAAAGATAAGATGGGTATATACATACTTGACAGGGAAATTAACTATCTTGCTGTAGAGTGTGATACAGAGGCTGCCTTAATTGTATATTTCTATGTACATCTCGAAGTACGACACTGAATATTGTTCTCAGTTTTTACTTTGGTTTTCAACTCTGGTGGACAGAAAGGTGAATATACTCATTTATTAGACCCGTGAAGATTTTGTTGGTCGGCTTGTTTAACGCCGCACTCTGCAATATTCCAGCTATATGACGGCGGTCTGAAAATAATTAAGTCTGGACCAGACAATATACTTAAGCGTGAAAGATTGACTTTTCCGAAGTTGAGAAAAGTGATATTTTCATTGCAGTGAACATAACAATTGATATTACACTGCAGTGAACACAACTCTTTCACAGAACTATTTTCATAAAAGAGTGACCTCCCTTCAAATTATCTCCCTTTATCGCCAAGTCTGGCCAGTTCACAAACTGTTGACTTTCTTTTTACGTTAGTTCCTCTTTGACAAGGCAAAATAATGACAGATGGTCATTTATGGAGTAAATATCGCTTCATGGTGTTTGTTATTCTCTTGAAAATGTTTCTCACTTAACTCGTCAATCGAGACCTTTCGTTTTGCAAAGCGCCATTTTGGTTACTTGACCAGTGTGTATTATTTCACTTCAAACACCGGTGTCAAAGTTTTCGAGAATATTTTTTTCTGTTTAAGTTTATTTTATATATAATCATATCTTTATGTATGATACAGATTTTACGCGACCCTAATTGTTTTTTGTGACTATTTTTCATATTTGTTCAAGGTTTTACATTTGTAATGAAATAATTTAATTGCCCGGTAGCCAACTACACAAAAAGTATATAATAAACAGGATATTCCATGTGTCGAGTGAAATATCATGTTTCTCTCATCTCGTGACGGGGGGAAGGAGATTTTTTCACCCCTGGCTACTCAATGAGAGAAACTCGACACATGAAATATCCTCTATTTATCTTGGTGTTGTTAAAAAAGATTAGGTCATCAATTTACTGATATCTGAATTTGAGGTTAAACTTGTCGGCAATGGAAACAATCCAATTAGTATGCGAAGCGACACAGATCAGCTTGGGGTTGGGGTGGGGCTTCCATCCGTATGTGTGTGTGTGTGAGGGCGGGGGGGGGGGGGGGGGGGGGGGGGCGGGACTTATAGGACTGCAGGTGTTAGTTGTGATTCATCATTACTCATCATTGAAAAACCAAATCCAGAGGATGTTGCTGTCAGGTTTTATAAAAGCGCCTCTGGGGACCTTTTAGTTGAAAATATCAGGCGCTATACAAATTCATTACTTACAATTGTACTACATATTATTATATATTATTATTGTGGTCCAATAGCCACTTCGCTTCCACCGATTCACCGTCATGGGCTATGACTAAAAAGAGACCAGTGAAACCGCCTCATCTGTTTCATATTTAGGTTAATGCATACCGATTGACATACGGAGAGACAAATTCAAACAAAAGAATGAATGAAAACAGGAATAACTTAGACATTCCAAAAGTCAACTTTCCTATGATGTCGAGCAATATTGATGGTATGCATCAACCACGTCAGCATGCCTGACCACCCGATCCAGTTAGTCGCCTCTTACGACAAGCATGGGTTGCTGAAGACCTGCTCTACCCCGGACCTTCAACTGTCCCATGATGTCGAGCAATAACAAACAGTTCCAGTATGTGGCGTCTACATTTCACATACTTTGAGGCATAATCGAGCAGGCTATTTCTTTGAAGATTTCAAAGAGCCTCATACGAGTCTTGCTCAATGTTGTTCGATCAGGGTCTAAGCATTTAGGGCCCCAGCAAGAACTTCAAACTCTGTTATGGAAGACATGTGAAGGACACTTCCAAATGTGACACATCAATGACCAGAACAACGTCTGATGCAATTCCATATTCCAGTTTTTTGTTTTGTATGTTGTTTAACGCCGCACTCAGCACATCTTCCCGAGGCAAGAGAGTTAACTGACTATAAAAAGTCCAGTTTCCACCCTTGCCGAACTAGGCTGGTATTATGGAATTACATGATTATCTATCAGATAATCCTGACCATTTTCTGTGAAGCAAACGCAAGTGATACGAGAGGTAAAATCTGATTGGTCCATAGGGGAGGCTTAGAAGGGACATAACTGGCAATAGCCACTGGTGGCACTCTGATCGAGCCCAGTAATTCCAGCCTAGTTCGGCAAGGGTTTGAAACTGGACTTTTAAAGTCAGTTCACTGTCTGGCCTCGGGAAGATGCACTCAGCAGTATTCCAGCTATATGACGGCGGTCTGTAAATAAACGAGTCTGGACCAGACAAACCAGTGATTGATATCATGAGCATCGATCTACGCAATTGGGATAAGATGACGTTAGTCGTCTCTTACGGCAAGCATGGGTTGCTGAAGACAGATTCTTTACCCCGATCTTCAGTCGTGGTTGTCATATTTGTCCTTTTTATACATAGGACTGACTTTGTAGGTTGGATTTGTAAACATCCCATCCCATCCTTTTATAGATCGACAGTTCATATAAAGTTGCTTACAAATGATGGTCTCTTCTGCTTTGTCAGTTGGTAAATTTCTAATGCAATTCAGCTATACTTGTAATAACTGTATTTACTAACGTCAGTATTATTTGTACCTAGTTTGTGCCTCCTTTCATTAAATATGTTACAAATACATTTAATCTCTAGTTTTGCCCATTTTTGTCATAGACTCGATAGTATAAATTATTATATCCAAATTATAGTCAAAATTGAATGCAATCATTGTCAATTATTGAGAAATCACCAGGGATGATATTTCCAACAGGTGAAAAGAGGGAGTTGGTGGCAATCGGATTTGAATACACATTCGTGGGAGGATTGTAATTAATCAAAAAGTACCGGCTTATCAATAAAGTTATTCAGTCTACCTTTCCGTTTGACTATCATCCAGTCAATAACTTTACAAAGGAGTAATTTACATTCTTAATGTCCGACGAAACATGTATTTAATTTGACACATCTTTATTGTAAATATATTGCGAGGATGTTTTTCCCCAAAATTATCAATACTCACTGTCAAAAAGGAAGGCCCTGGCAAGGCCCAAGCATACTAAGAGAACGGCAACTTTGTACATGACTCCTATTCGTCTGAGAAACGAAATGAGGCGAAAATGTGTCTGATTATTTCTTTATAGTGCCGCAAGGTACGAATCTTGGAATGAGCCTCAACAACAAGGATCCCCAACCAACTTTAGCGTCACTATGTAGAACCTCTTCATCGAGTCCCAGCAATGAATATGACACCCTTGCGATAGTCGATTTAATTTAGCTTTCGTAAAATGGGATTGCTTTCTCAATTTCTTACAGGTAGTCGGTGCATGACGTGTGTGCATGACACTTGTGAGGGTAAACAGGTGCCCTTGGCATGACACTTCCTGGCTTATCTCGTAATACATGCAACTGTCTACATTTGGCTTTGACTTCTTTTTCTTTAGAAGAAACTACAGTTTGACCCGAAGCATGTAGAATACTGTAATCTGAAAATTTACAGCGTATTTCAGTCACATAAGCAAAATTCACAACAATTCCGAAAAAATGGAGTCCACGAGTTAAAACAAATATACAATCATACAATTAATGTAAACTGACAGAAGTTACTTGAAACGCGAAACGGGTCAACATTATATCTCGGGGCCAACTCGGAATATTCCGCGACCTACGTGATACGAATGGGATTAAGACGTGCCGTGCTAAACACTACACAGGAAGCACACAATGAAGACAAGGGGGCCTTTGGCACACCACCACTGGTGAAACTTAAGATATTCTGCTTGCTTGCTTACTTACTTATTGTTTTACGCCGCACTATATGACGACGGTCTGTCAATAATCGAGTTTAGACCAGACAATCCAGTGAGCATCAATCCACCCATATGGGATACGATGACATGCATCAACCAATTCAGGGAGCCTGACCGTCCGATCCCGTTAGTCGACTCTTACGAGATAGTCTGCTACAATATTCGTGTAAGGATGACATTTCTTTGGCTTTAAACTGTTAAAAGATCACGTCAGAACAAAGCCCATAGTCTGCTAACATGGCTTGGGAACAGATGAAAGCCCTGCATGCTGGATAATTTAAATTCATGTTAGTTTTGTCTATGCTTCCAATGAACGTTTTGCTTGAGTTTTAAGCATCCAAACAATACCAAAGAAGAACAAATACTTAAAAGTAGTCGCACAGACAACACATAACAAAGAGGGGCTAATCATCTAAAGCCCTGAAAGTAGTTGTGCAGAGTTGCTTAACTAAGTCTTCAAAAAATCAAACGATATAGAGTTCGAATCCCAAATTCGCCATGATCATTCTGCCGTTGTCAGCACCATACTCGTGTCCGTGGCTTTCATCTGGGATATACCGGACTTACTAAGTTGTCACGCTCACTGTTGAGTATATACAAGCACTAGTGTTGTGTTGAGGTCTTTATTTAACCAACAGGCTGTCCAGGTCCACACAGGTTACAGTACTTCCTGCAGTAGTGCACACCGTCCTGCTTGTCCAGACAAATGGGGTTGTGAGTCTCGTTCATCAGGGCACAGTCACGGCCAATCAGCATGTCG